AGCGGCACATACCTATATAGCCCATATATGGCAGTACCCCCCCGGGAGTATCGTTAAGTTCATATTCTGATTATTTTACGCTAATCGAGGACAACATGAGCGAAAAAGAAGAAAGAGACCAATATCCAGCCATCTTGATGCTAACTGAACCAGCCATGTGACAAATATTGGGGACTTTAAGCAACGTCTTCGGAAGCGTCTAGTGCTGTGAGCAGAGGTAATTGTTTCTTCTCCACGCGTCAATGCCTCACGACAACGGTAAAAAAAATGGCTTTTTAATAATAAAACAAGAACTCGTGCTCTTCCAGTCTTTTTTGCGATTATTCCAAATCACTTCCTTTGCCAAATGTAGGTGAAGAAAAAAGAGAAAAAAATTCCGTCGTCAACACTGGTCAATTGTCTACGCCCACTGTCGCGTAATCATTACCTGCGTACGCGCGTAAAATGTACATTTACGCGCTAAAATAAAATTACCTTCATACATTTTAGGGTTGATTTCCAGTGTCGCGTAATTTTTACGCGATGCGTACGTGCGTAAAAAGGGATCCGACGACGGCGACGGCTACGGGAACGCCACAAAATTAATTAGCAAAACAACAATTTTGCACGTGCATCACGCCTTTTCTTTGTACATTTCTTTGCCGTCACTGCACGACTACGACGTGAAAATGCTTAATTTCACGATGTACAGAGGAAGTACACAAGCGACGACGAGATTTCCTCTCTCTTTCTGAACTTGGATATGGTTCTTAGGAATTCAACTTTAGGAGGATTCGCCTACATTTGACAAAGTTAGTGACTTAGAGTAATCGCGATGAAAATTGAAAGAACGCGAATTCACTTTTTCAGCGATGTTTTCACCGCTGTCGCCGTCCTCGGATCTTAAGGTCTCTAGTTTACGGCGACGACGGCGACGGCAACTAGACTGACGTCAAAACAGCAATAGGTTGAAACAACAAGTTTGCACGTGCATCACGCTTTTTTGTACATTTCTTGACTACGATCGCGACATGAAAAGTTTTCCTCGCGAGAGCGAGAGAGAGAGAGAGTTCTCTCCCCCTTCCCCCCATAGGCGTACGGGCCGCGGGGGCGAGGGGGGCTGCAGCCCCCCCAAATTTTGGGCAACTCAGAATTTTTGGGCAGCAAGAGAAAATTTGGGCAAAGCCAGCTTTTAAAGACGTTTCCATGTTTTTTTATTAGTGTTTTGAAGAGATAAATATTTTCTATTTTAACCTGAAGTCGGCGTAATTCAGTTACATTCACACGAGACAGTGGTTGCCAAGCACGAGATGAGTTTCTGGTTATAAGCCAGGGTATCATATGCTGATTTTTTTTTATCGTTAGGCGCTTCACTGCAATGGGCTATTTCCAATCGTGAATTGATTACAATAAACTTCCGCCTAACTTCATTTCTAGAATCATCTCTGCTCGCAGAACAGAGTGTGGCAGATAGCATCAGCAATGGGTCTGAAAGTGAAGAAGTGGCTGACTAATTCTCAGTTTAATACGAGAAGAATCTTAATCTTTTTAAAAAAACTATCAAGCGTTTTAAATTATTCACTAATTTGTTAAAGTAGACCGAAATTTTTACAAAACCGCTAACAAGAGCGCCATGATACATACTAATCAAATCCTTCTTTGTAGCAATTGACCAGAATTAACTCTGAAATAATTCACACACGTTTTTAAAAAGCCTGGGACTACTATAAGGTGAAATTGCATGTCAAAAGCGCTTCGTTTTCTACAGATAACGGCTAAACATCAAAATTTTCCTTTTTATTACTGTATTTCTGACGATAAAAACTTTATCCCAAAATATCCCGATAACGCTCTTACAGATTCCGTTTTAACTTCACGAATATCAAGGCGACTATTGGAGGAAAAAGCTCCCGAGAACGATTTCCCAGTGAGAAATAATGCTACAAGTATAATAGGTAATGGCGTCAGTTCGTTGCTTTGACAACTCCGATGTCATTGCAACCCAGATCACGACATATTTTCATCTTTATCTAATACAACTGTGGTTGTAATGTTTCCAAATGTTTATTTATGGCGACGTAGTTTATGCTCAAACTTGGTAGGTATTGACCCTGAAAAACTGTATCGAGCCACTTTCATATGCCAGTACGACCTATGTTGTTGCATCGTATAGCCCTCTTTTCTTTTCGACTGTTTTGTAAAAATTTGGGCAACTTGCAAGAATTTTTTGGGCAAATGGTCTACCGCCCCCCCTGGCCGAAAATTGTCCGTACGCCTATGCTTCCCCCTCTAGTCTTCCCTCGTTTTTTTTCTTCGTGAATTTTTGTCCTGAGCTCTACTATCTGAACGCCTTGAACAGGCTAATTTGTTTAAGAAATTCAAAGCCAGCTATTTCTTCCTGAATTCATACATTTGATGCTTTCTCGTTGAAAAGAGTAACCTACGAGTTCAAAGAAACAATACATTAAATCTGGAGTGCAAGGAAGTCCGTGATCAGTTTTTAGAAAACCTTGGTTTTCCCATTCGACAGTATCAAGATTATAGAAAATGTATGGAAAAATTGAGGTTTTCTAAAAACTGATCACGGACTTCTTTGCACTCAAGATTTAGTGAACTCCAGGCTAGCGATACTGCGTCGCGCTTTGAAAGTCTTACCTAAGTCTACTTGTGTTACATTATATAACACGATGGTACACGGGCGGCGCAGACGTAGTATGTGTCACTGAATAAATATATTAATATCCACATGGACAAATTAATGCGATGAGTCGTCGAAACTCCCATGGACTAAAATAGTCTAAAAGTCAAAATATAACAAAACAAAGCTAAGACACCTTCAACTGAACGTATCCTTGTCTTTCCTGGCCGGTTTAGACTGGCATTTTTTTTGAAGGTTTGAAATTGTTTTGTTTTACAATTTTTGAACTCAACAAAATACTATTTTAGTCCATGGGAGTTTCGACGACTCATCGCATTAATTTGTCCGTGTGGATATTAATATATTCATTCAGTGACACATACTACGTCTGGGCCGCCTGTGGATGGTATTGCCTCTATACATACACATATTTTAGTTACTGTGGTTTTTGTTTCTGGTCGGCAGGATTTGCCCTCTGATGCAAGAGCATATTCTTTGAAGCTTTTTATTACGGCCGTGTAAGGGCTCTTAATTTTCTCCACAATGCCTTCTGGACCTGAATAACTATGTGACTATGATTTTAGTCCGTGAATATGCAATGCTGTATCACGCTGGGCCCAGCTCGTTAGTTTTCTTTGCAGGACGCTAAATTATCACGGATAGTAATTTACAGATCTAAAGTGATAAGAATGAAGTGCAGCTTAAAATGAAGCTGCATCAACTATGGAGAATGCATTGTGACTCAGTAGATTCCAGCTTAGTGTTTTTACAAAGAAAATGTGAGTCTTTTGACTGGAGCGCGTATTTCCTTCCTTGGTTATAAGTTTTTAATAAGTTTAACAGTGTTTGGACTGTTTTGTTATCACTGTTGCCACTTTGTGATCAGGCAAGACCATGGTTTCCGTTCCCCAAGCGAACCTCATCAGTTGCCTTATTGGCTTTGTGCTTAGTTTCTTTTTACAAGAGCAACTTTAGTTGTTCTCTTTTGTGGCTAGAACGGTACAGCCGTTCTTTCTACTGAGCCTTGACCTTGAGCATTAATACCCGCGTGGCGGATCGAGCGGCAATCGAGCCTGGAAGAGGAGTCAAGTCGGAAGTTGGAAGTTAGAAGTGGGAAGTTGGAAAACGGAAGTCGGAAGTCGGAAGTCAGAAGTGGGAAATGGGAAGTAAAAAGTGGGAAGTGGGAGGTCAGAAGTCTAACCATGCAGCATTGAGTCTCAACGGTCAGAAATCAGAAATCCGGAGTTCGAACTTTGTCAAGTCTGAAGTCTGAAGCCTGAAGTCTGAAGTCGGAAGTCGGAAGACCCTCCGGGGCTTTCGTATTAAAAACCCGCGATTATGAATTGCAGTTTCCCAATTTAGCCTAAATAGGTTATTACATAAATGGTAATTAGAACAAATTTAGGTTACTTGGGACATTAAATAGATTCTTATTTTCAGAAGAAAAAAGTATACTGTAGCTTAGAGTATTTAGTGGTATTCCGCTTATTCCTTATCTGGATACCATTACATAATTTGTAGTTGGAGTAATAAGACACCTATGTCTCTTAAGAGGATACTGAATGTGCCCATATGTACAGAAAGGCACCCCCTTGCGGGAGGCAATTCTCACTCGCTCTACTAGACCTGACGTAGACCCGATGAAAACAAGACGCGTATACTGTACGCGTTTGGTGGTCATATATTTTCCACGCTGAGTTTATAGCTCCTTTTAAACCAAGTATAAAATATAAAAGACATTCGTTTCGGCTTTCAATGATAGGAAACTTAATGATGAAAAAGGAGGGAGCCCCTCCACTCAGAAGTCGCTCTAACTACCCTTCCGTGCCCTTCTAGGAGATTCGCCATTTTGTCTTTTTTCGACATAGACGCGATTCATTCTTTGATTAAGCCACAGACAGCCCAATAATAAGGGACTAGTTTTTGTTTAAAAGTTTTATTTGAAACCGTTTCAAAAATATGGGATTACCCATTGTCTACATCTAGGGCCAACAAAACATTCTCGAACCAGCGTCACGAAAATGTCCCTCGTTTTACAAAGAAAGAAAACTACACCATTACAAGCCGATTACCAATTACTCAGATTACTGATTTTAAGGAAACGGCAAAGGAGCGCAGAAAAAAGTTTCTCCCTTCGCCGCCACTTTTTCAGTCGTTTGTGGTTAATTCCGCGGAGGCAATTTTTTTTTCCATGAGAGATTATAGTTATAAAAATAAAAGAAAACGAGAAAGGGTTGACTCAAAGTTATAGCACAAATGAAGGTTCCGGGTAATCAGCTCCTGAGAGCGTCAAATCATCACAGGTACATCAAAAGCATTTACAATTTATTTAACTCAGTCTGTACATTATAAAATTTTTCTCTTTGTTGAGGGAGACTTCTCTTCATGCAATTTGGAGCCATTTTTGTTTTTTTCTCTTGAGGGGCGATGGTGAATCAGTGAATAGTGTTATAGTTTTTCTTTTTCTTGGTGATGCTGTGTCACTGTAAGATGAGTTGTCCTCTGACTCTTGCCTCTTCACAGCCTTGGTGAAAGGGTTTTCTTTGAAACAAAGAGACAAAATTTCAAGTCCCTTTCAGACAAATGCGACATTTTCGCAGCATTTGTGCTGTTACCAGGGGCATAACCAGCTTTTTGACTAGTTGTAGGCCTGGCTGACTTTCATTTCCACATATCCTGAAAATTTCACGCATGACTAGTACGCACTGACCTAACCAACACCTTGAGATCTCAAGCTTTTTAGCTCACCCCAACAACCCATGATTTATTACAAGCGGTGGAGTGATCAAGCCAAAAATTTGTAAGCCTGGGCCTACAGGTCTAAGAGCTGTCTATGCCCCTGGTTACAACATTTCTGTGCTGTCAAAATGTTAACCCTTTAAACCCTAATACCCACATACAAATTCTCTGGACTGATCTCCATACATTTCCTTACAAAATCAGTTGAGAGAATTTGAAGAAAGATCAAACCATTTTCCCTCTGTGGGTCATTTTTTCAGTTCTCATAACCTTTCCTCGTAATTATTTATTGATGCTGTTGGGAGAAAATGGAAGTTGATAACTCTTGGGACTTCAAGGGTTAAACAACTTTGCTGTACTGTACTTGAGAAGGAGAATGCTACTGTTATTTCCTATTGTGGTAATAACATGATTATACACTTCGTCTTGTCGAAGCAACCTTGTGACTGTTTGAACCAGCATAATCTCAGCATTTCAGGACATTCTCTCCAAAAAAACATTGTAACAATATTTCAACTGTTTAACCCAGCACCCGGGGGAAAGCTTACATAGGGCTGTGTTGTATAAGGCCTTCAAACAATGAGTCTTTTCAAGACAAAGTCTTTTCATTTTGCTGCAGTGTTTAAAACAAAACAACTTATAGTAAGATGAGGAGCACTTGTATACACCATGCTCATACATAAAATCTTGTGAATAAAGTACAGACTGACACCCGTTTGAGACACAACCCTCATGGCTGTCCATCAGCAGTTCCCATTAAGGCCAAAGAAGGGGTTGCCCCAACCCCACCCCCTTCAGGACTCCCCATTAAGGCCAAAGAAGGGGTTGTCCCCACCCCTACCCCCACCAGGAGTCCTTGCTTGTTCTCAATTTATCAAACGATTCTCATGTAATACGTTGTGAGAATGTTATGTGGGGTAGAAAAGAACTTTACAGAAAGTAACACCACTTTATAATCTTGTACAAACAGCCACAACAAAAATGTGGGAGGTCTATAACCATACTTCCTCCCCCAAAAAATCTTGGTTGAGATAAACTTAGGGTGCTTTCCATTTGTCAGAACTGACAGGACAGACCATTCCCATCATAATGAGAATTTCACTTTTAATCTAAGCTAGGAGTAATCGGAGCTTAGGAGAGTGCGTTCGATATGTTTGTTAGGCGCACAGGTGGGTAACAGTTGAGGGGGAAGATTGGATGGTTCTTGCGATAGATAAATATGATTATGGCATATTTTGAACGTAAGGGTTGTGTACAACGAAACCTCTTTTTAAACTGTGTATCATTATAAGAAGATTTTGAAAAGATATGGTATGGTTCGGTGTCAAGTGCTTGTAATTGGAGGAGACAGTGGCCAGAGTGCGTTGGGCGTGTAAATAGAACATTTTAACTTTTGTTTCACTGGCGTGATTACAGGGCGCAGTTGTTCAAAGGCCGATTAGCACTTAACCCGGGATTCTTTTTAATTGCACAAGACACCCAATAAGGCACAGAACACCCAACACAAATTAGGGGTTGCATTCTTGTACCTCGAATGCAACTATCCAGCCAGCTGAGATATGTCAAATCCTAAATAGTATGTACGAAGGAGATGGTTTTTCAGTAAAAACACTTGGGAAAAGTTTATTTAATATACAAAATGACTGGTCTGGCCATTGGCCGGCTGGCAAGTTCTGACTTGTGGAAAGCACCCTTGGTGTTGATTTTGCCGAGAGAAGATTCAAATTATGTCAAACTTCAATGTTGACATGGTGGCAAGCAGCCACTTTTTTGAGACTAATGATGATGTCAACTCAAAACAAAATAGTAACCATACTTTTCCCAAGGAGCCATCTTGCTGCATCAGCTTTATGTTGGGCCAGTTGCCAGTCAGTCTCTGACACTTGATCTTTGGAAGGTACCAGATCCTGACGAAAGTGATATTGTGGCCACCAATCAGATCGGTCGTTCCAAAGCTCCCCCAAACTATTCTTCTCATGTGTGGCAAAATACATGTGAAGAGTGTCAGAAAATGCTTCCCAATCTTTGATACACTGCCGAGAAGCTGCATGGTCGAGCTTAATGAAAAAAGCTGCCAGTGCATCAAGAAGTCCTTTTGATTGATCTGCAGAGTAGAATAATAAAAAAACATCTAGAAAACCACTTAATTCAGAAGTAAAAGGACAAGGTGCCTGTATTCAGAAGGCTCTAGAAAAAGTCTTTTTCAGGCACAAATAAGCAACAGAACAATGTAATGTCTAAGCTTAAAAGTGAACACAAACTGAAAAACCCTCTTTCATTTGAATAGTTTCACTGCAAAATTTATGTTTGGTCAGTACTTTTGACGCAACAAACTGATCATTTGAAATGGTTTGTGACCAAAAATGCTCATCGTTAATACAGGTTTCATTAACTTTATTCAAGAACTTTTCCAGGACTTAAAAACAAAATTCAAAGAGTTCATTTTCTCAGGCACTTACATTATTGTCTCACAAAATATTGCATATTTTGCACAGTCATGACACAAAAACAATACCTAAGTACAAATAACATACTAAAGCTAAAGGATAGCAGCTATTTTAGAGTTGAATAAATTTCACCGTATTGTCTTGATACAGAAAGCTTTTCATTGTTCAAGACTTCAGGACCCTGTTGTTGCCATTATGAAACGGATGGTCCAAATTTCTAAAATTTTCTCTGTGAAATACATGTTGTACTTCTTCCACCCAAATTTATCACCAAAAACATTTCTTGATCGCCAAAACAGCCACAAATCAACAGCCTAGGCTAGCTTGATGGCGTTATATTTCGGACACCAAGAGATACATAGAAATATGGCCACCTGGTGTTTTTGCTTGCTGTGGGATCCACCCACGTTCAACACGCGATGCAAATTTTGACAAAAATACAAACCTTCACTACGCCTTACGACCTTGGTTTCGTGAGGAATAATGGTGCTGAGCAATAATCACTGTCAAGTTGTCAAAAAGTGGTCCATGGAAATAAATGACTGAAGTGTGAATTACAGTAACTCACAATAGATATAATAGCGAAAACAGAAAATACGTGCAAACTTCTTGAGGGAATGATCAAAAAATTGTCCCTGAGTTTAGGAGCTAGAACCACAAGTCCTCCTCAAAAAGATGCATCATTTTGGTCAGTACAAGTCTCATCTTCTTACAGTTTTTACTCACCAGTCTCATGCATCTTAAGCTTGATGTACTCCTCACTCAGTTCACTTGTTGGATCAATATGAAGTAAACCCTCCAGCACATTACAAAGTTCTAGTCTGTCTGTTTTTTGCTCTTTGAGGAAGTAATACAAATACCTTAAAATAACAATGTAATTTATCATGGTCAGAAAAGTGTGATCTTGTTGCTAAGAAAGAAGTTGAGTGTAACAAAATAAGTAAAATTAATGTTTTTCTCACACACCACTGGGAGCCTGTGTAGAGGTCATGTGACCAAAAGGCAGGCAGTTGCCTTTGTTGCGTCTGCCATTACTGACCTTCCCACCCACCCACCCTAAGATTTCAGCTTTGTAGGCTGTTTAAATGTAATGTGCATCTTTGTAATTTTGTTGGTGCCCCACTTTTCTTAGGGGTATGTTATGTATACATTTTCATGAATATTTTGGAATAAAGGCCGGTCAGGCTGCGGCAGTCGGCTTGGCATGGCTACCAGTGGTGTGTGAGAAAGCCATACTAGGGACTGAAATGCCGCTAACAATTTATTGACTTTATTCATATACTTCCACATTCTATAGCTTCAACAATGTTTTCAAAGGTCAGGGATGCACATACTATATAAGATGTAGTACCTGCAAAGACTGTTAAATACAGTAAACTGGTAGACCATTAGGGGTATCTTTGCAATAACGTATTACACGTATGATGTGCTCCACTTCAGCATTGTACGGTCTTCTAACATAATTAAATCAAACGTGAAAAGGTATTTAAGTACTAAAAGCAAATGATCAAAGGGGACCACAAGGACATACATGTATGTCAGATTATGCAGGCACTACATTACAAGGAACTACACTGTAAGTCCAACCATGACCAGCTGGGGTGGGGGCCAAGACCTAGCCTTTGTATACATGTGTGTTGTGGTTCAATTTCATCCTAAGTTTAATTTTCTTTCCCTTATTTAAACTAATTATAAATCATACAATACCATACTCAAGAACCAAGAGAAATAAAATTTTAAACCAAGGATAAAATTGAAACACAACATATACACAAGGGCATACTTAGGAATGGTGACTTGATGGATGATCACATCACTGAAACAATGAAGATCAAAATTCACCAGTCCAATCTAATGGCTTAATGAAGACTGACTAAAAGTACAAGTAGTTGATATATACATGTACAGTACACCTCAAGTGAAATACCATCCCACGTGACTATAGTTATATCCATAAAATATGACTTGTACATTGTGAGACAAACAACTACCAGTACATTCATATATTTAACTGTATATATCCAATACGATGAGCAACAAAAACTATTTTTTCTAGACATTAACAGTGCTCCTGTGAGATCACATGTACCTGTGAGCATTAGGATTTTCTGGATTTTTCTCCTTGTATCTGAGTAAGACCTTCTTAGCTTCATCATCTTTGTTATAATATTTCAACATCTCAATTTGTCTTGTTACAAAAATATCCCACACTCCACTGTGTTCCACTAGACCAGCAAACAAAAGTAATGCCTGTTTTCCATGAAAATCCATCTGTCGCTTAAGGTTTGTTAAAGATGCACTGTCAGAAATGTGACTCATTTCTTCAATATCTTCCCCCTCTATATCCCTCTTCTCCAACTGGATTCTGCTTTTTTTCCACGAGAGATAAGCAAAGAGTCCTGAGTACGCTCTAAGAAGAGGGCATGACGAGAATGATTTATGTGAAAGCTTTGAAGTCAACAGCTCCTGTGCTTCTGTAATGTCTCCATTTTGCTTCACCAAGTACATAGCAAAGTCCAACAAGAGTTCCTTTTGAAATGGAACACAAATCACAAACATATTCTTGATGAACTGATTCATGTGGGCATAGCTTCCTGGTTGGTTATGCATCAATACCTCACATCCAGTCTAAAGAAAGAAGAGCGTGTCATAATACAATAAAACCTTCATTAAGTGGCTATGCTTGCAAAAGTGGCGGTTAAAGGGCGACACTTAATACAGGTTCTATTGACAATGACTTACAGACAACTTTGTCTGCGAGGACTCTAGTGACTAACTGGGGTGGAGGACTAACAGAGTTAGTAGAGCAGGGCTGTCGATAAAATTTAAAGTTGCTGGGTATATGCAATTAATAAGAGGGGAATTGTACAGCTTGAAAGTCCTTTTGGTTCTATTTTCCTTTTGTTTCCCATTAGTTAGAGTAGCTGGGGCGCTCGTCCATAATAGCCGGGGAAAATCCCGGGTCCCCAGCTCTTAAGGTGATGTTACACGGTATGATTCGCAACAATGATTTTCAGCGCAACACAGTGTTGCAATGTTGGAAAATGCTGTACCTATTTCAAACAATCTCGTAACAATGTTGCAACGCTGTGTTGTGCTAAAAATCGTTGTTGCGAGTCGTCTCGTGTAACATCACCTTTAGTGACATGCAGCCCTGGTAGAGTGCTTGACTGCAGAGCAGGAGGTTGTGGGTTCAAACCCTGGGGTCGGACCAATACTCAGGGTCTTAAAGCAACTGGGAAATGAAGGTTCTGCCTTTGTCCTGCAAACAGCTAGACTTTGTGTGGCTGAGATGACCATGTAAAATGGTGTTTCTTTTTCCAGGAGGAGACATAAGACTCGTGTCCTCAACAGACCATTTCTGAGTTGCCCATAGCCTCTGTTTCAAGGTGAGACTAACTGCAAAGCCATTGATATGAACATGCCTTTTTATTCTCATGCAAATAAAAATCATTTTCAAAAGAAAGATTTTGTACTTTGACTTGCTTTGAAAGTGAAAGTTTTTGGAACTCAGAATTGGCCTATTAGGACTGTTGTGCTAAATACATTGACACTCAAAGTGTTTCTTTTTTTAACTGGTGGTTAAATAGAAAAATAACTGTATGATGTGTACATGTACATGTATGATGTTCAGAATTTTAAACATTATAAAATTAACTTGGAATCACCAGTCTCTTACTTTTTCAACCATCTTGATAAAATGTTTATGGAAGCCAACAAGATGGCAAAAGTACATGTGTAAGTTACAGTTATGAATTTACAATAAAATGGGACGCATCCAGGATTAAAAACATGCGTTTTAACTTAATAGCTTCAAATGGTGGGTAAGATGAAAATGTACTTAGGTTTCATTTTTTATTCAAACTAACTGTACTGGTAATCTGGAATTTCTAGTCATATTACCCTCCAAAACAGCTCAGGTGTTCTTCTACATGCACCGCACAATCCCACAAGACACTGCAATGCATCATCGTATTTGTGACTTAACAAGCTGTTTAACAGCAATCTTGCAAGATATGTGATATGCTGCTGATGGTATGATGCAGTTTCCAACCCTGTCAATAACAAAAAAAATAAGGCATAAAATAGTGAAGCATATCAGTACATGACCTACAGCTGTATCTACATGTATACCTTCATAATTAAAAAACACATGGATTACAGCATCTACCCTCCCTATAGAATGTAGTAATAAAAATAAAAGAAAAATAGATCTGAAGTATGTTTTTTGCAACAGCTCTGGTTTTTTCTGGATTATCAGTACACAAGGGAATTTTCCAATATAGCACCTGTGTTTTTTAGATACTATATCTGTATTGTCTATTGTCTGATCTCATTTTTGTCCTACATGTAGGACAGAACCATGTCAGCCCTTTGGTTCAATTATCACATGAAATATATTGATGATGATGATGAAGACGATGACTGATGATCATGATGATGCACTTAATTTTGGTATGTTCCATATTAATTTTATCAGCAACACCTCTAAGGATGACAGGTTTTTAAATAGGGGGTTCAGATTATTTCTTCAAAGAAGCTGACAAATTTGTAAAAGGTGCTGGGAAAAAAAGGAACCCTTCAGATTTCATTTTTAAAAATTTGAGGGTTGGGATTCCAATCATCCCTAGGGGGGTGCGGATAAAAAATGGAATGTCCCTTTCCCCACAACCACATGCATAAATCATAGGGTCATGTATTTTGCACTCACTCTGTTCACTTTTCGTTTTATATGACATTGTTATAAAACGTAGTACACCCATTTTGTGTCCGAATGAACTTTAAAGTTTTGAAAGACGAACACTTAAGCTTACAGATTCCAGATCCAGGAATCATTCCACTTCTAATAGATCTTCTTTCAGCGCTAGCTGCATCATGGCGAGAACATGGTTTATAGAAGCTGTTATCTCAAGACAATTTAGCTGGAAGAAAGTCCACAACTTACCTAGTGTATGGGAGAGGCATGCTTCACGCCATATTTGCTGAAAGATACACGATTTAAACCATGGTGGGCTCACTCGATTTGCTAACCAATAATTCCACACAGTTGCCATCTTGAAAATGAAAAGAGTATATCGTGTAAGCATACATGAATAGTACCTTACTCACGAACACCAGGAAACTGGAGCCTACAATTAGGAACCTGACCGAGTCGTGGTGGGGGCGTGGGTGAGGGCTAACAAGCGGTGCCAAGGGAAACATCTTGGATTGTTGCAGATAGTTTGAATTGTGGGATAAGTTTGATTTCACTGAATTATTTGGTGCGTTAACGGGCGGGAATAGCCTGTTCCAGAATTCAGGATAGTGTTGTGCAGTCCCCCTTGGTTTGTATTATTTTCGCGACGTCCCAAGTATATGAGAACCTAGAGCAGATAGTGTTGTTCAAATCTTGTGGAGTACAAAAAGAACGCAAACTCAATTATTTTAGATGTGGGGAATTTAAATAGAATTGCTATAAATAAGCATAGAAATATCTTGGGGAATAGCATTGTGTATTTTAACAAAAATCTGCACGTATCTCATTAATCTGTTTTGTGTTTGGAAGCAATAATTTCTTTTAGTTTGGAATAATTTGTTTTTAGCTTGGTTCGATTCACGTATCGAAGAACCGTCAGGGGCGGATTTAGGGTTGGGGCGGGGTTGGATTGGGTGGCTAGCCACCCCCCTTTTGAAGAAGAGAAAAAATTGAAAAAGATTGCTTGGCAGAAATAAAGGCAAACACTCTGGACAGATACCTCATAGTAATTTCTCGTTTGTGGTGTTGCTAGTATGTCTGGTTAACAGTTTTAAATTGAGTCCAGTTCTCAAATTGCAACATTTTGGAAGCATGCCTCATTGATTCCTGCAACCCCAGGGTACTAGCCACCTCCCCCACCCCACCTTGAAAAATCCTGGATCTGCCCCAGAACCGTTTGAAGTACCAGAAGAATTGGCACGTCTCTGAGAAGAGTGAAATGGTTACCAAAATCAGTTGTTTGGCTGAGATAAATTTGCATGGGTAAGGGGCTTTTCGTGGGCTCCTGATCTTACCCAATTTCACAAGTGTTCAGCTTTGAGTAATTGTTTGTGCTGTCCTAACCAGTTTGTGTTTCTAGTACGCTAAGTCAAATATTTCTATTTATTTATTTTTATTTTTTTAATGCTAAAATTTCAATTAGAGTCCTTAACCTTAACGTTACTAATATCGTTTTTTATCAGGTTGTCGAAGTTTTTTTTTACTTTAGTTTGTTTGGGAAGTTAATGTGAAGGACAGGCACGCATTTTTAAAATTTTTCACCGACAGTTATTGAATTGTTTATTAAGTAGTAAGTGCAAGGTTCTAGTACCTGCTAATGTGATGATCATAGAATTCCTAAAGTGTATAGTATCATTTTTTGACAGCATGGAAGTCGCATATTTCTTTTTTGTTTTTTCTTGTGTGGGTAATGTACAAAATACAAATATAAACAATGTTAATTATGTCGTAACCCTAACATATTCTTGTCTGATCTATGCAAAAATCCGTCCAAATTGGGAGCTCAGAGATCGTGAAAAATACCTTTCTACACATTTCATGAAAAAGAGCGTTTATTTTAACTGCCTCGGGCGTCGTTCAACCTTTCAAGATTTTCTTTCATTCCATATTGGGCTTTACACCGAGCCCGATTTCTCGCCCCTTTATTTCCTCAAGGTGACTGTATGAGTGACGCAGAACCAAAGGGAACGAGCCTGTAGCTCGATTTTTGCATGTCTCATTGTGGTTGGCAAGGAACTTCCCAACAAATATAGATCGAGCTAGAAAGGACATCGAGAGAAGCTTTTCGACCATAAATTATAGGTTCCCCTGAGCCAACTCGAGAAAGAGAAGGATATACGCCATTTTACAAAATTGACGTCAGTTTTTTATGGGTCTGTCTTGTTATCGATCATGAATTTCGTCATAACATTGTCAAAGTAGCTGTGGATCCACGAGGCGATAGCCAAGTGGATCCACTCGCCGAGTGGATCGAGTTGGCAGCCGAGTGGACAATATATTATCGCATAAATTATAAATTCATGTGTCTGTCCGCTTATTGACAGTGAAAATTAGCCAATGAGCGCGCGAGAATTTCTGCAGTTATTGTAAAATTATAGATGCCAGGAGGTCACATCATCATGATGTAGGTAACGTCTGCATTCCAGCTTAAATGCCCATCAGAACGGCGCTTCGGTATTAGTACGATGAAGTGACTAGGAGTATTTCTTCTTGTCCCTGGATGGAATCCTAATTAATTGCAACGAATACCAGGAATGTCAGGAATGGAAAGGGCGTGATAAAACTACCAGGTCTTTTTAGGCCTCTAACGTTCATTGAAGTTTCGAGTGCTATTTACTTGGTCTTTGTCTTCCAATAAAGAACGAATTTTAACAATTCTTGAGAGAACTATAACTAACAACATTTCCAGCTAAATCCGTCCGTGTTTTCTTAGCACGTAACTTATAACGGCGTTTTTATTTTTGCTTGGCATTTTCATGTTTCCTTCCGACGTACGGTCAAAATATTGGGACCTGGGAACGAAAAAACAAGATGAAGCAAATTTTACCCTTATCTAAGTTAAACTATTTCTTGTCTGTGTTTACAGCCGCCCTCCCTGGTTTCCTCTCCTCTCCGATTTTTTCTTTTGGGGCGGGCGGCTAGAACCAAGGTCCCAAGAGTCTTCTCGGGCAGGCAATCGCCCGGGTGGAGTTTGGGCACGACGAAAAGACTTCACTTCTGTTTCCGTTTTCACTTTCGATTTCCACTTTCATTGCCTCCCTAGTATTGTGCTCTTTATCCGGCTCTAAAAAAACTGCTTACGGCTAACATACAGGTGAGTGATAAGATGCAATGCTTAACCAAACTATCACGGTCTGTTTCACTCGCAGATCTAAACAATTCAGTCTACAGATGTCGTTGAAAGTATCGTCAAACGGCGAGTGCTGGTTTTCTAGTTAAACCAAGTACAAAGCCGTTATGGTTTCATACAACTTTGGCCTCTGAAACATAATTAAAGCTAGGATTAGAGGAGATATTTGAAAAATAAGTGAAGCTAAGGTTAGAGGAGATATTTTTTTGATAGTATTTTCATAATCAATGCATGTAAGTAACTTTAATAGCCCAGAGCAGGCCTGACATAAACAACTTCTATGGATCACTTGTACGGCTTCCCTGTTCATACATATGTGGGATGACATAAAGTGACTGAACTTCCGTGGCGTAAGATTTCGCCAGGAGACCTTCAAGAGATCAATTTGTTCTATTTTCTCATTTGTATGGTTTACATTAAAGGGGGGAATTTCATATATCCCATGATGCATTGCTTCGTACTATATTATCAAGCTTCCGAACGCACGTGATGCTATCAGTTCAACAGGGACGTGACAGTTGAACAGCAGTGGGAAGCGACTTGTTCTGCCGATAAAACTTTCTGTACCTTTGCTGTGTCGATCTATTTACGATTTTCGTTTTACTATTCCAAATATATCTCTTGTTAAGTCAAAGAGAGTGTTTTGCCCGCCGATTATGAGTTAACTAGACTTACGATAGCAACGCAGTCCACACAAACGTTCTTAGAAGCTAGCGAGGAAGGTCTTTGCTTCAGAACGTTCTATTTTATCGTGCGTTCAGTTGACAAAGCTCTCCACGGATTAACAGGCGATTTCCACGACTTGTCGTGAAGTGAAATGCATATTCTAGGTGTGAGATTTCTCTTCGTTGCTTGTTTGTGATCGGGGTGCTCATATTGTCAGTTCAATAATTAATCGATGCAGTACATCAACCGTACAGTGACTGCACACGCTTTTACTTCAACAAGCTCGGCTTATGTAGTCGAAAATACCGAGACCGTTAAAGTGCAAAGTGACGTCTATCGGAGATAAAATTCAAAGGAGGGAAATAACTCCAACAAACAATAAAAATAACAAAGACATCTCTCAATTTTTCGTAACACAACACGAGCTAAGCATCATTGTCAAACATAAACAGAAAAAACTTTATTAAGAAATGGCACAATACATATACAAAAACACCCACTTCTTCACTACAATGGATCCTAGAAGAATTATCAAAATGTCTTAAAAGGTTTTATACGCCGGTTGAAGTCCTACGGCGTGCTATTCCATGACATTTGCTGCACCGTATATTTCAAGTTCTCCACGCGCGGTTGCGACCGGAAGCCACCATGAGAAACCAATTTACCTAAAATAATGGGACAAAAAAGCTTCAATAACTATAAACCATTGAATTTAAACATTCATCATACCCTCAAGAGATAATATTTGTGTTTTGATCAACGAAAAAAGAGCGAATTCAAGAAAAAATGTCCCATTTTCGCAGGACTTAGCATAAAGAAATTGAAACCTAATCGTCTTGCATCTTAGTGGACAAAGGGCAGAAAATGCGATATTTCAAAACGCTCAAACCCATAAAAATCGCGAGGTCGAAAGAGGTCGGAGCGTGGAACTAGTATCAAGCACCCCTTGTCCGCCGATTTAAATAATTTATTAGGGCAAAACCTTACTAGAATAAAGACAGTTTTCGATAATTGAAAGTCATCTAAATAAATATTCACTTGCGAGTTAAAACAGCATGGCTTAACGGGGTCGTAAACGAGAGCAATAATGCGTGAAATGACCATGGGACCATTTTACATTATTAATAAGATACCAAAGATTAACAGGGCTCATTAAAACTTACCTTGGATGAGCTGCATCTTGAAATTCAGGTCGTTGAAAATCTCCCTCGAAACCCTCGAACGCTCCTTCCACAGCGGAGAGAAGACAGAAATTTGCCGCGAAGCATCATGGGATATATGAAATTCCCCCCTTTGTTTACATTAATTCTATGCAAATCTATCGATCGATAGATTTCGACTTCACATAGTGAAATTGTTTTGTATTTGGCCAAACAAATAGACCTTGTCACGGTTTTCGACGCCATCTTGCCGAGTAGGCAAATACGTGAGAAATTACAGTGTTTGTATGGGAATCTAATGTCGAATAATTTCCGTAGAACGGATGTTCTGAAAAAAATATCAATTGTAAACTAAAGCTACAA